AGGGATAAAGCGCACAAACATCGTGCCCTCGGGCCCCGTCTCCATGGTTACTATGAACTCAATATCCGTGTCGCCCGAGGGTTTCACCAGCCTGGGGCTGTCATCCCTCGAATCCATCCGGTGAAACGTTCTTCTCTCTCTCTCTCTCTCTCTCTCTCTCTTCCTCGTCGAGCTGATTATATTCCATTTCTGGATCGCCCTGGCCACCTTAATACCGAGTTTTCCAGTATACACAACACGAAGCCACAAGCTATGTGAAAAACAGGCTTTTTAGATAGATATAAAATTCGAAGATATTTTTCCTCAACTCCCTATGTCGTTAATCCACTTAAAAAAATCTGCAGCTGATACTTCGCAATACATCTTGCATTTTATTCTATCGTATACTATATCTTCATCTCGTACTCATTAGAAGTGCAAACCTGACGACTCTACTTCAGCTACACATAAAGAAGAGTTTTACAGGACTTTGAAGAGCTCAAATTAAAATAAATAACAAATTAAAGGTACAGTAAATGTAAATCTAATTTATATAAGTTGAAAGGAAAATTATTTTGAGTACGTAAATATCAGGAAAAAAGTACATATGAAAGCGAGAAATTTTTACCATCTTTTCTAAAATTTGTTCTCTAATCTTTTCATTTATAATTCTTACCTTTATCTATGAATTTAAAACTTTTTTGTTTTTACGATCAATGATATACATATATACATATACATAATTATATATATATTGTATGTAATAAAATTATATCGAATTCTTTTTTTCACTTTATATTAAACAAGTAACTATCAATCAAGATTGGCAAGTAACGCATTATTTGTAACGTCGTTACCGTTACAAATTACTTTTTTCGGTAACGAATAGATAACGACGTTACATTTTCTTCGGAGTAACGTTCATGATAACGCAGCTACATTTTTGGGATAATGGTAAGGATTTTACTATAGTTACTTTTATCGTTACTTTATTTCTAGCCACGTAAAAGTTTTAGTCGTAACTAAAGCTATAGAAAACAGAAATGCGACGTCAAAGGAATAGGTCTAATTGGTTCTCTTAATTACGTAATCACAACGTCTTTTTTCACATTGTATTCACAGTTTACACTTATAGGCTGTGTTCCGTTTCACGCATTATGATGTATCATTTTATCTTTCTTTAATATTCGGTGAACAACCAGGATAAAATGATATATCATAACGCACTATGTGTGAAACGAAACGCATCTATACGCTAAACATATAGCATGTAGACTGTACTGATTGTAGTGATGAGACCAGCGAGATCATGTGAGATTCTATCCTAATAAATATAAATATATATATATATATATACACATTTTTTTAGCTCTATTCCTCTATTATAAACATATAAAAAATAGAATTTTGATGTTTTTTACCAAAAAAATCTACATCTAACATTCTATTAGTGTCAAGAAAAAAAGTAACAAAAAAGTAACGATTCGTTATATTTGAGTAACGATAATGGTAACGAGTTACTTTTGCAAATCAATAGGGAGTTTTTTAAAGTTACGTTATTTTTTTCTTCACAACTAATTAAGAAAAGAATAAAAGGTGACTTTAGCGTTCACTGTATCAGGGATAAATGGTATTGGAGAAACTCCCTATCAACGAGTAACGGGAACGAATATTTTTTAGGAAAAAGAACGGTAACGGTAACAAGTAATTTTCATGAGGTAATGTTGTCAACCCCACTATCATTATAATCTTATATACATTTGTTCCCTCCTATTTAGTTTAGGTCAAAATATCATAGTAAAAGAGAAATGTTTCGAGAAGTGATGGTAATATCCATTCTAAGAGACTTAATAAAAATTTCAGATTATTGCGTGATATTAATTACATAGGATTACATTACATTGCAGATAAATTGTTCATTTAAATTTGGAAACGCGCATAATATTCCAAAATGGATTTGTTCGAAAAGAAATAATACAAACTCTAAATACATACTCGCGTCAGATATGTTCCAATATCATAAGTAGCAATATTTGTGCATAAACAGCTATTTAAATATTAAATCTTATAGCACCGTACATGTGAAAAACACACCTATAAGAAATTGCCTTTAATGGTCGAGCTGGATCTTAAGTGCTATTATAATTCCATGTGAAACATAGTTATAAAAAAACAGCTACTGTTACAAAAAAAAACTTCAAAAATATTTAAAAGATCATACTTGAAAAAAATTGAAGATTTATTTGGCGCTTTTTTTTTTTAGATATCATTAAGACTTAACTAAAATTCTACGGTGTTATGTTTATCAATTAGACGTTTGCTTCGAAACATATTCAACATAAACACTTCTGTAATATAAAAAATATAAAAAGGAAAATTTTGTTTTTGATAGTCATTTTAATAATATTTTATAAAACTAAACATAATATCATACTAAAAAATAAAGAAATGTGATTTGTATTTCGACGATATTTGTTTTTTTATATTTTATTATCTCACGCTTACTGCTTACCCAGTACAATTTATAAAAATATCATAATGTACCAAAATTGTAATTACTGTAATTTTTTTCATATTCTTCTTCTCTCTCTATTTATAAATATATTAATTAATATTCCACCTACTGGCAGTAAAGAGAACATTATGATTTATTTACGCTTTACTTCGAGTTTGTAAAAAATGTATAATAATTGCAAAGAGGATAATACAGCTAAGTGAGGATTTTTATACGCGATGTGCTCAGCAAAAATTGGTACATAATGATTTCAAACGCTTCCCAAGTAAAGTATGCAGTTATTAAAAACGACTTATTTACACAAGGTATACACAGTGCCATTTCTGTCACGACAGATTGTTTGAATATTAATTAGATAGATCAGGAGGGTATTATTTTTAGTTTAAATTTTAGCATATGTAAATGCTGTTCGATCGCAATAGTTCTCTCAAAAATGATCAAATCAATTGTAATGACAGAAAAAAAATAATAATTGAAGTACTTATATATACAAATACGTACGTAAATTATGTCGTCTCCAATTATCCCTCCCATATTAACGCTTCAGATGTATGAATTCTAAGTAACGATATTTTTCCAATTACATAAATTTTGTGCTATAATACATTACAATGCATATACCCAAACTTATTTTCCTTACGCATTATCATATTTGTTCAGTCTTTCCTACGTGAAATCGTTTTAACCAATTAAATCAATTGTCGCGTGTAACAATAATTAACAATTGTGATTATTACACGTTCATTCTTCATTTTGTTTATTGACACCTGAAAGCTAAGAAACGTCATCATATACGTCGGAATATATTATAATAGAAATATTTTATTGTGCTCTTCTATTCAAACTGGAAGCACAGAAATTGCTAAATATTAAATGTTGATGTAAATTATTTTCTCTCGACTTTGTGAGCATAAAATACAAACATACTCCATAACAATATATATCTTATACCAAATAATTTAATCAACACTTAAGTGGATAGTAATAAAGGCGACATTATGCTATTTCATAATAGGCATTTCAAAGATCGGCAATACTCGAAAATACGGGAGATTTCTTTTTACTGTAATATCAATCTTGATATTTAACTATTATATCAAAAATTTATAATTAAAGCAACATGAAATAAAATATTTTAATAAAAGTATTATCAAAGTATGTGAAAGATTAACACGAGAGCTGTAAAACAATTGTGATACAAGGGAAAAATATCTACTAAAAATGTGCTTGTATTGCACAAATAGTTTCACGTTATGTTGTAAATAATAAGTAAAGCTACAAAGATTAATCATACGTTTTATATGTTAAAAAAACATTAATTATGACTAATATATATATATATATATATATATATAAATTTTTTTGATCGTCGAAAGAAATAGACATATAAATGATATAATATAAACCGACATCACGAAAGAATCAATGAAAATAGATATTTTGTAAGCATTGTTCTCTATGATCTCAGGCACCACATACATTTGTGGCTACTTTTTTTTACATGTAAATCAGGTACTCGCTTTGAATTTGTTTTAATTCATTATGCAAAGTATTTCTGCAAAAGTTTATTATTAGCAGAATCCGCACCAAAATTCCGAGAAGGAAATATAAATAATTAAATTAATATTAATAAAAAAAATATTGGTTATTCTTAGTTTTGTAAATATTTCTTTAATAAAAAACGTAACAGCTAATTTTTTTTATAAACACTGAAAATGTTGATTGCAATATACAACATAATATACTGATAACAATTCCAACTTCCGGTGGAGAGTAGCTATATTCTGTTGTACCAACATTGAAATTATCACTATTTAGTAATTATGTGTAAGATATTGTACAAATTATTCCATACTTTTTGGACAGTGTGCTCGCGGTATTATTACATTATAGTTTGCAAAAATACGATTTACTATTATAACAAAACCTGCTTATTTTACACTAGCGCTACAGTGTCCAAAAGTATAGGTCAAGTATTACAATGCAGCGAACCTATACATAGTGACAATATACATACATTCATTCACTTAATGTACATACTCACATACTCACCATGTAACAATATTTCTATGGCCACACACAACACACATACACAATGTTCTCTATCTCTCTCATGTACACACCACGAAAGGACTATGTAGACTAATCACGAGACATGTGCTCATACACATTACTCTTTTCATCGATGCGATTGTGTTGAAAAATAAAGAGCGATCTATTATGTTACATTTAAAAAACGTATGCTACAGTTAAAAAATGTTCAGTCATTTACAATAGGGAAGCTTAGTATCGACATGATGGAAACAATTTTACCTTGAATATACGCAGAATCCCAAGCCAATTCCCAATAATTTTTATTGCAGTAATATGCAATGTGCAATAACTTACTATACATTGCAACGTAAAATAACGTTGTACGATCCATCGAGGCCAGCTCATACAAGACCATGTAGATAGAGCGCCAGATTTTGGGCGGGTCACTAAAGTTCCTGCCCTTCACAGTGCATCACTTCAAGTATGATTTATACAATGTTGTGCTTCTACATGTTTCTTTCTCTTGTTCGAGAAGAAATACCAAATCCCTGAAATTCACTCTCTTCAAACGTGGTCTCATGGGCATTTGCCTATTCAATCCGCTCACTGATGCATTTGCGCTAGAAGTACTGTTGGTCGATCCTGCTGTATCGAGCTTAGGCTTCTTACGAGGGCCAATTGCTAGCAAAGCTGTTTTATTTGCATCCATTGTCCTTAAATGTTCCATCTCTGCACGTTGCATCTAAAATGTTTTATTCATTCTAAATAAATAATGAAAAGGTAAACTCCACAGAAAATTACGAAAAAATTAGGATTTATGTAACATAATTTATCATACGAATTTATTGCAGAATTATATGTGTTTATATATTACCTCTTTGGCCTTAGCTTTTAATTCTGCCTGCTTGGGATCTTCTGTTTTTGCACGACTCTTTGCAGCACGTAAAAGTAATTCCCGTTCTTGTTCTTCGTGTTTCCTACGTTCGATTCTATCTAAATCTTCCAAAAATTTTAATTGTCCCCTTACATCTTGTGTTACTTCATATCTAGGATCGATCTATAACCAGATAAAATATTATAAAAACAAAAAAGAATCTACTAAAATATCCACTAATTTATATTTAAAAAATGTTTAATTAATAGATTAATATCTATAAATTATATCTGTATATATAAATAAAAATACAAAAATTTTAAATAAATATTCTTTTTCTTCTCTATAAATTTTAAAAATAAATTTTACCTTTATAAAATCTATCCTATGTTCTGTGATGACTGCTAACTTTTCTACTAAATTCTTTAACCTTTCTTGTACAGCATGCGAAATTAATGCTGCTACTTCTTGGTTGGGTTCATCTAGTCCATGACTGGATGCTAAAATGATATATTGTTGTTAGAATTAATTTATACATTGTTCTATATCGGTTTATATTGAAAAGAATAAAATTACCAATTTGTTTAATTCTTTGTTGTAATGGTGTCATGTGTAAAAATACTTCATCTTTACAAGATCGTATTTGAGTACCAACAAATTCTGTAGAACCGAGTATTCTTTGAGATTCCTCTGCAAGATTAACACCACCCATAGCTGCTACATCATTTATATCATCATCCGCCCTAAATCATATAATAAATCATCACATATTACATGTTCATAATAATAATGATATGCATCAACTTCAGATACATATTTCTTCGCTCGTATCTCCGTTCATTTATTCACAATAATTGACTATTTTTACAACACTCTTAGACAATAAAAAACTTACGTATATCCTGCTGATGAAAACGTTTTTTTCTCTTTCTCCTTCGCAGCCGGTTTTTGAACAAGAGAAGGCACTACGGCTTTATTAACAGTAGTGGTGGTATTGAGTGTTTTTCCTTGTGTAGTAGTCATTGGTTTTACAACTGTGGTTGCAATTGTGGGTGGTTTTTGCACAACAGGGGCAGAGGGGCGAATTCCCGTTGCTGCTACTGTTGATTTTACAGTATATGTTGCTGCGCTAGGACTCCGAACCACCGTTGTTACTGGTCGAACCTAAAACAATGTAATTTTTATTGTATTATACATTGCATTTATAAAAAAATTGCAAAAACGCATAATTTCTGTCAATAAAATATGTCAATAAAACAATTAAAACTTTTTCAAATTTATTTCTGTACAATTATACCGAGTGTCTCATTTTAACGTTTACATTGAAATATCTAAAAAATACAGAAAAATGTTTCAAATAAAAATTGTTTCTGAGAGAGATATATTTATCATACAATTTAAGTATTTTCTATCGATTGAGAGTATATAAAACTTGATCGGTTCAGCCGTTATTGAGATCTGATAATCTCAATCCGCCACGACTCGTCGGTTCGCGTAAAGTAGCCACGGCAGTGTCAAGCGCGCCTGGCTTAGCGCCGAGACACTACCGTGTCTCCAGATTTTGGAAGATTATTTTGTATCACGTTGTTTTTTTTCAAGTAGAAATGCCAAAAAGATATACTTTATATTGTACCTTATTCTAGCACATTTAACATGAAAAAAATATTAAATATGTAGTAAACTATTAACTTTTATAATATCTTACCTTTGAACAGAATAATGAGTTGCATCAAATAATATAAACAACTTAAAAAATGTATGTGAACAAAATGGATAATTTTTTAAATAAGCATACGTCCCCTTCGAAACTGATTTACTTTTATTTATCTCTATATAAATATATATTTAACATTTCTAAAAAATAAATAATAATCTTACCAGCCTCTGTGGAATAGTTTGAACAGGTCGTGGGACTGTTGTTGTAACTGCTGCTGCTGCTGCTGCTGCTGTTGCCGTGACTGCTGTTGGAAGCTGTGTCATTACTCTCACTTGTGTTGTTGCTGTTGCTGTTACAGGAACGGTTGCTGCCACTGCTACTGCAGGTCTGTATTGAGGTTGCTACAATATACAATAACATATAATTACAAGTTAGAAAATAATGTGACAATCCTGTAACAATTATATATATATATAACAAGTATTATGTATCTATGAAACAGTGATAAATCAATTAAACTTGCCATCGGTAATTTATCTCCTATGGTAAAAAGCTTATTCAACCTGCTTTATACTTAAAAATGCAATACAGGTGAATTATTTTTCACCCTGTATCGTATTTTTTATATAACAAAAAAATTATTTTACCGTAAGAGTTGGAACAGCCGACGATAAAGAAAAAACAACACTGGCTGGAGGAGGCTTTATTCCTTCTATGACTAATTCCTTCGTGACAAGTGATTGCCGTAAAAGAGGCAAACTTTTCTTCAAAAATCCAATGAGACATGGCTGTGGTGAAGCATTTAATAATTTTTCAAGTCTGTCACAAAATTCTTCTGGCTCGACTTTAGTATCAATCAGTTCTTGTATCAAAGTTCGAACATTGCGTTCCACTGCTTTAGGCTCTCGACTAGATAACTCTAATAAGTTTGCTAAGAATTTACGGCACTTTTCTTTGGTATTATCAGTAGTTTGACGCTAAAAGAAAAAAAGAAACATCATTAATTAAAAACGATATATAAAATTAAACTATTTTATTTTATAAAATTTAATTTTTTATGAAATTTCAAATAAAATAGTCATTACTACTTAATTTGTAATTTGTAAGGATTTCAGCTTAAAAGAAGTGAAATATACCGGTGTAGAAGTTTGAGCTGTTTGAACAGTGGTAGCCGTTGGTGTAGAAGTAGTTGTGGGTGCAGTAGTCACTGTTCCTGGAGTTGTAGTAGATGTAGTAATAGTAGGAGCAACAGTCTGTAGCAATATAATATTTTTATAATACATTAATGTCGTTGAAATGTTAAAATTATTATAATCTATGGAATATTATATAAAAATTTACGTTCATGTACTCAGATTAAATAAATTAATAAAAAACTTAATAAAAAAAACTTGCATGCAGAAATAATAAATGTAAATAATAAAGAATAAACTTAATTGTAAAATATAATTATTACATTTCAAATAAATTTTGCAGTATAAGAAAAAGTGAATTATTGAGACTTTATCGCACATATTTACATGTAACAATTGTCCTAGTAAACATTAATTAATATAATTAATGCAATTTTGGGGAATAACACATAAGATTTATTGATTTTATATAGTACATTTATATTTAAAATCACAAACATAAACAAACAAATGTATTTGTTAAAATTTCAAAAGGTTGTGATAAAAATATAAAAATTACTATTTTCATAATTTACTGCATGCAACTAGAATTTTTGAAAATTCTATATTACTACATTTGTGATAATTGCATCTATTTTTCTGACATGCATGCCAAGGTTTAGAATAATCCTATCAAAAAGTTTAACTCCACTGGCTATTGCATATAAACATAATCATAAGTTTTTAATATATAATTTTTAATACATTTTATACAAATCAATTATTTGCATTAATAAGTAATTTGACTTTAAAAATATAACAAAAATATTTATACTTATAATTAATTGCTACATGTTTATATATATATATATATATATGTATATATAGCATTACAATGTATTCTTTAGACGCACTTGTACCTTGTACAGACTCATATTTTACAAATTTTTGTGACTATGTAGACATATAAAATATATGATTAAAATAATAACATATGTCAATAATCAATATTCATTGATTGTTTTATTTCAATAATTTACAGAACAATATATCAGCTTTTATCTAATTTCAATTGTCAATGTAAGAAAATGTATAAAAATTTTTTTGAAAGTAATTGTGCAATATGCCAATTTTTAACTAAATTATACTATTATATCATTATTCAATATATAATATAATATAATAGTAGAAATAGACAGAGATAGATTTAAAAAATGTGTCATCTTACTATTATGATTTCTCAATACCAATTAGAAAAAGTAAGCTCATAAAAATAGATTCATAAAAATTTTAAATAATCACATGCTAGTACAATAACATATTAGGAAGAAAAATAAACTTTTTAAAAATATATGTATAAAAATGTAGAATAAAGGGCAAAAAGATATCTGTATGTATATATATAGATATCCTCAAACATATTCTTTCTTAAAAATAATTTATCTTTCATCTAACATAGCAGTTTCTACGTAACATAACACCTTTAACCAATAATTCATGCAATTAATTAAAAATTGGAAAGATATTATTTGAATTTTAACGCATTTACTATACTTCATAAAACTTAAGACACACTACTAGAAAAATGCATCCCAAAAAATAAGCTAATATTGAGATGTTATCAATTATCTTAAATTTTTATAATAAGATGTAGAATAAATGTGGACAAAAATCAATAAATACTATGACAATAAGTAAAATTGTTCATAAAAACTTTTGCATTCAGAATACTCATAAAAATTGTATAATATACTGTGTCTTTTAAGTATAATGCACTAAATATTTGCAAACAATCAATAAATAAATTAATAGTAAAAATTTTATGTAGTAATTAAATTTAGTGTGAACAAACAGTAAACAAAATATATTGGCTTACTGATAACATCATTCCACAGAAAATAAAATCACAAACTAATAAATATCTACAGTAGCACTACAACGAGTCTTGTAAGAGGTATAAAAGTGCGTCACCTGAACAGATTTTCTTAGGGTGGCGAGTGGTGGGCCAGTGAACTGAGTATTCAGCCTACTTACAGTCGGCACTGAAGCTAGGCGGTATGTAGTGCCTGGAGATGGTGCAGCAACTACTGTATTGCCAGTTATACTATTCGGTGTAACTGCAGTACCCGTAGGTGTACCCGCAGTTGGAGCTGGACCCACCCTCAGTAACTGATATTGCCCATTTTCTGTTTTTAATAACAGATGACCTTGAGCACCAGCTTGAAGGCTATGAAGTGTCTGTAATGTTATCTAAAAATTGGAAATAATAATCATTAGTTATATTATCAGTATATAAAATTTATTTTCTACTATAAGTAAATAAAAAGATCTCTTTGAACAGTTAATTATATAAATTAATAGTATAGTATAAGTAAAGCAATATATATGAGCATTAAAATTCTATATATTTTTACAATTTAAAAATTTAAATATAACTTAAAATTGGTTTAAATATATTTATGTAGATATACAATAGAAATCTAAATACACAAATAAAGTTGTTAAAATAAATTCCAATACACTTTCTTACATACTATACAAGTATATGTACTTAATAAATAAAAAAAAGAAACTTTATAATTTATCATAACAAAATGGAACGTCTTACCCCTGGACCTCCAGCTCTTGCTCCAACCAATTGGTGTTGTCCAATCACTACTCTTGGGGTAACTTGTTTATTAGCTTGCTGTCCCGTTACTGGCGTTGCAGGACGCATCGTATTTACATTAAGGATTTGAACATTACTGGGAACTATCGTTGAAGTAACCCCACCCTTAGTCTGCAATGCTGTGCTGACTGCATTGCCAGCCACAGAGACTGGTACAGACATTGGAACGGAAACCATGCCAGGTGCTACACTGGTCTTGATCACTAAAGCTGCCCCTGTTGGCTTATTTACTGTGGTCACTGTTTGGCTCGCTGCCTGGCTAACAGAGCCAACATTGGTAACAACGTTCGCTGTAGTCTGCAGCACTGCCTGCGACGTTATACCTAAAGTACCGTTTGCTAACTGCCCGACAGTTTGAGCGGGAAAGGAGAGCTTATTATTGGCATTTGCCACCCCCGTAGTGGCAATAACTTGTCCGACTGTGGGATAGATAAGCTTCACTGGTTCATGCGTCTTGGTTAAGCTTGGTATATGTGTAGTCTGATTACTGGACACCTGATTAGTCGTTACTTGATTGATATAGGTAGCGGGAGATATCCCTGATGGTTGCGTGTGTTGTTGCTGCTGCTGTGGCTGTACCTGCTGCGGCTGCTGCTGTGTGGTGATGACCTGTGGCGCCACTGTGTTCGAGGTAACCACGTTCACGGGCAACAGAGTGCTGGTAGTAATCGACTTGGTGACCTCCTGAGTCATTAGACTGTTCACGGTAGTCACACCGCCGCCGTTCGAAACCCCATGTTTCTGTGGCTGCACCGCGGTGATGGTGCCCCCGTTGGAAATAGCGCTGTTCACCTGGTGATTCTGCTGGCTGACCGATGCGGAACTCGCTTGATGACCGACGATAGTCGGCGTGGACGTTACAAGCTGCGTCTCAAGGGAGCCCACTATCGCGTTCACTGCGGATTCATCTACATCCGTGCTTAGAGCTTCCTCCAGAAACTTAGCTGACGCCATTTTCTTCCAAGCTCCAACTGTAAACTGATCTGCGCATGCGCTTGTCGCAAATTGCTCCCATAGTGCCTTGCCCCCTCTTCCTCGCCCTTCTAACGTGTTCTAGCAATCGTACGCAACCAACGCAAACTACGCGGCGACTCGGCGTGACTCGACGAGTGCGAGTCTAGCTGATACGGCCGATCAAATTTTCTTGATATTCCATGGCTTAATCTTTGGCAGCTTTGGCTTCGCGTGCTGCGGACTTCTCATAACGACGGAGTGACATGCACGTCATTCACGCCGTGAATCATGTTATGGCCGCTTGACAGCGTGCATGCAACACGTCACCCGCCAAAATGGCCATCTTCGAAATACGCAATCGACGCGCCGTTTACGTACACACGTTGCACGCGTCGATACCCACCACATGGCTGTACACTACCAATCCTTCCCCTTTCACGTAATTTCGTACGTAAAGAAAAACCGGAAAGCTGCAAAAAATTTTTCGTCTATTTTCTCTTGAAAAAAAAAAATGCGTTCTAAAAAAATGTTTCCTCGCGCTCGTGTCTGTCGCTCCCCCTTCCTATATGACTGATCACCGGTGCGGCTACGCCTCGGAAAAACACGTGCGTGGCTACGCGGGAAAGCGACGGAGGAAGCGACGCGCGATCAAAACTTTCGAGATCCTCTCATTTTCTACCGGAAACGATAACACGTGACGAAAGCTGATCGGCCATTGCGATGTCGCGTGTCGTTTTCCTGACATGTATGTAGGGTGTTGTTTCATTTGTGCGTTTTGTCATGCAACAAATGTATGCAGGACAAAAAGATACTCAAGTTAGACTACCATACAGCCAATCAACAGGCTTAAAAAATTTGTATGTTAAAAATGCACAAATGAAATAGCGTCTATACTGATCGTAATTTGCATACGAAAATGTTCAAATTCGCACGCCTGTTTCACAATAGAGCCGTAATTCGTATAATGCCTAGTTCATCCTGGATGCGATGGGCGATGAACGACGAGCGATATCCAATAAAAGCTTTGCTTTTGCTCACACGACGATGTAAAGCAGAGTTCTTATTAGTTGTCGCGCATCGCTCATCTAGTGTGAACTAGGCATAAGAAATTAACCAATCATGATCGAATATTTTGTCATATTCAACTCTGATTGGCCAATTTTTTACTGCTTACGAATCGCGACTTTGGCTGCGTTCAGCAGATTCAACAGTTTTGCAACCGTTTTATGATTCGTCTCGTTGATTATATTGGATTATATTTTTAGATCTAAAGGAATAGTTCTATCTCAGCGAAAAATCATAAAACAGTTTAGCCCATGGCACACAGAAAAACGTAAGGCCGTAAACGTAATCAGTAAGCGAATTGACCAATCACGGTCGATTATTCTTCTCACATTCGACTGTGATTGATCAATTTCTTAAGCGGAGAGCACAGACTTTTGCATAACGCATAAATCGTATACATAAAGAATTTGATTGGTCCATTGACTCATGCATAAGAAAATGGGCCAATGAAATTCCTTATGCACATGCTTTAGATCAAAATATTCTCGATTCAGTTTTTAGGTTACACGAAATCAGTTTTCTCGTAAGAAATGGTAGACACATACTGCTTTTTGATTGGTCAGTCATAACGTAATCATAAGCTGTAAGTCAGAAGAGATGGAATTTGGCCATCTCCACTCGGTCACGGACTACCGACTTATTACTATCTTATGACGCATTACTGACTCGCTTGCAACTAGCTTCTGACTTCTGATTTATGACTTATGGCTTATTGTAGAAGGCCCATAATACTATTGATGGTGCTCGGTAAATGGCATTCGAATCGCAAAACTCCTGTATACGCATGCGCACACACAATAAACAAAGAATAGCGAGGTTATTTTTTGACAGTAACAGGAAGATATAAATTGTCATTGCCTAAATAATAAAAGATTTTTATGTGCAATTGATTTTTAAATCACTGATTTTATTTTTCCAAACATGTAATTTATTTTTCTTTTGGTCACTTGCACTTGCCGATTTACAATCGGGAAACGACACACACGCGTCATCGGGCTGCGTTTGGGAATAGATACCGAGTGCCTTGAGCTATCAGTTTATCATGAAGAATAGACCGACAGGAATGATGTCTCTCGGCTCAGTTCGCAGTGGTACAGATGACGATTGGTCACGTGACCAATATGATTGGTTAATTATTCCTTCATCCGAGAACTCGGTCCAAGTTCTAGCATCGTGGACACAAGAGGCCTGTTCTTTTTACCGAACTGGTATGTACACAGAGTGCAATAAGTTGAAGTGAAACAGATATATGTTTGTTTCATTTCAACTTATTGCACTGTATGTACCAGTTCAGACAGTGCAGGCAAAAAGAACAGGCCTAAAGCGGGGAGCACAGACTTTTGCATAACGCATAAAGCATGTGCATAAGGAATTTCATTGGTCCATTTTCTTATGCATGAGTCAATGGACCAATCAAATTCCTTATGCACATGCTTTATGCGTTATGCAAAAGTCTGTGCTCCCCGCTTAAGGCTTAACACACATACATAAATTCGTATGTTATATAGATATACGATTTTATGTATGTGTATAGGACGTGTGGAACGGAAGCGACATCTCTCGAGCAGCATTTCGAACTAATACAGATGATGAGTTTTGGGCACATAATCTGACGCGTCGTCCCGGTATTAGTTCAGCCTCCTTATCTCTATTCTTCATGATAGAGTCCTAGATATCAGAGAAGTGCAACCGATGTTCCGCATCCCTGATTGGCGTGACTGACAGCCAATCATGACATTCATTCATTGGTACTAAAAATGGCTGACTAATAGACGATTGGTGGATTTCATAGTTCGTCTGCAAACGATGCCATTTTTAGTACTTTCTTAGTAGTTTTGCGATACTGACTTAAGCCGGTTGCGCTTCTCTGGGTATCGATCATGAAACTTTTTCCCCTAGGATGAAAAGTGAAAATTGAAAAATTTCTCCATTAACTTCAATGATAAAAATTTTCACTTTTGACTTTTCATCTTAGGGAAAAAGTTTTATGATCGATACCCTGATATCTAGGGCTGCGTTCAGGGGGTCGATTCTGTATCTCGAAACAAAGTAAAAATTACAAAAGTGAGCAAATTTACTAGGTATTGACCAATGAAATTATAAATGTTCTAGTAAATTCGCTCACTTTTGCAATTTTCACCTTATTTCAAAATACAAAATCGATTCCCAGAATCATCATCTAAGTGCACCCAGATGTCGTGTTATCCTTGTTTATCATTCATGAATAACAAGGATAAAACAACATCTAGGTGCATCCGCACGACGATTCTGAACGCACCCTAGAACTCTACCCTCGCCTATCTTACGAATTTATGCTCGGGATCCCTATATTCCTATGTCCATGGGTACGGTTTCAATCACAATTTCAATCAACAATTTCAATCACACGCTATCAATTTTAAAACCGCGGGAGGTTTACCATACTTGCGTTTCCTTCATGTTTACCTAATAAATGACAAATTATGACGATTTCAAGCGGTAACAAATCATGACCATTTTAGTGTCATCATCTCCCGGACTATGAGGTTGATCATGATCTGAATTCACCTTTATCGTACGTCGCATGAAATGTCAGGTCTGTTCTGTATTCTTGTACTTTAAACTGCAATGAGTTTTACAACCAGTTACAGCGAAACGTAAATTTATTTCACTTCAACTTATTGCACCGTTTAGACATTAGTTTAGGCCGGTTTAGGCAGAAATAAAGAACCAATTTAACCTATCGGTTTCATACAGTCGATTATCTTCGTTTAATTGCTGCGTTCAGCAGAAAAAGCAGTTTTGCAATTGTAAAATTCTTGAATATAATTGGTTTATACATTTAGATCTAATGAGGAAATAAGGGCAAGACCAATTATATAAAGAATTTTACGACAGTTACAAAGCTGCTTTCTCTGCTGAACGCAGCCATTGGGCGAGTTCAAAACGGCAAAGTGGCTAGGTACGCTTGCCGAGCAATTGAATATGATTGGTTGGATCTATAAGTAATAACCAATTATGTTCAATCGCTCGGCAAGCATACCTAGCCGCTTTGCCGTCTTGAACTTGCTATTGGCTGCGTTCAGCAGAGAAAGCAGCTTTGTAACTGGTGTAGAATTCTTGAACTCGCCTATTATTAACAAAGTTGAAAAATATGAATATTTGATATTCTCGTTATTACTAATATGTACATAAAGTAATATATTTAATTTAAATGCATCCATTCTGCTGAATGCAATACAATAATTTATACTTTACAATAAAATTAGTAATGTGTGGAACGAGTAAAAATAAAATAATACTTGAAGAATGGAAAAAATAAACAAATGCTGTATATAATGTATATATGTATATTTCTTTATTTAAAAAATAGATTCGTTAAATGTACAATATATTTTTTAATATATATACAAAAGATGCTCTTCAAGATTTAAATGGATTTTTAACATTTGACCGTTTTTAACATACTATAAAATATATAAAATACATAAAATTGTCACATTGACATCTTTATTTCTTTATGTAAACAAGTAGATAATCTAGTATTTTGACACATTAATGAATCAATAAATGTTAGTATGTCTAGTAAGCAAGAAACATTTTGGAACATTCTTGCAATATTGCAGCGATGTTGCTAGAATGTTTCAATGTTTCTTGCTTAGTAAATATAATTGAAAATAATAACTACTTTAAAATTCTTTTACTGTAACATTTTCTGTATTATATTTTATTTTTATGTCTGCACATATGTATATTTCTATAATGATTTTCAATTTTAACAAATTTATTTAATCATCACTGTATTAATTTTGTTATGAAGTATGATCAATGCAATACTGTTTTTTGTTTTGTATCTTTTAGTATCTGCATTTCTTTTCTTTCATTAATTAGCTCATATTCTAATTGAACTTTATGCTACAAAGTCTGTAAAGACTGACTTTTCTGTCATTTCAAAAAGATTTATTCTTGGAGCAATTTGTAACAGTATCTATAAGTATAGCTCGTAGATATTTTCAGTCAACTGTTATCTAAACTTGGAATTATTTGTCTACTGACATAATATGGTCCGTCTTTTTTTACCTGAATATTTTGCATTTTCATGTTTTCTTTTTAGTATAAAAAGAAGAGAAGAAAAGATGCAAGAAATTTAGCTAAACAGAATAGACAAATGCATAATACACTTAACTACAGACTTAAAGAAAAAAAAAAATATAAATATTTTCAAAAATGGTATTTTATTGACAATTTAAACTTCCAGATAATCAAGTTAAGGCTGAGGTGACCAATGAGGCCACTTTTTAATTTCATTATATAAGGCTTCTCCTGGACTCAAAGTTTTTGACACTTGTCGGTGACCTAATAGTTTGTAGTCAGGTGAAATTTTCCCGGCTTTGACGCCGAGCTCTATGATTTTTTGCGCGGCATGTAATTGCGTTTTCGGTGGTACGACTGAATTGAATGTACCAATAAAGGAAATACCGATACTCCTGTTGTTAAAACCGAAGGAATGAGCACCAACGTAGTCCCAACTTCTGCCAACATATGCGAGACCATCGCCTCCGACAAGAAAATTGTAGGCAATATCTGACCATTTTCTAGATTCTATATGAAAAGTCTGAGCAAATCTCACGTGAAATGTACACTCTGATTGCGTGGTACAGAACTCTGTTGCAGTGTGACTAATAATTACATATGGTACTGGCAGCTTCATTTTATTAAGGGGGTCTGCGGGCGGCTGCGCACCCCATTCGTTCCTCTCAACAAAGCGTACCGAAGTTACTGTTATACCTAAAAATTAGAAAAATAAAATAAATATCGTACAAAGGTATATAGTTCAAAATGCAGACAAATTAATTAGAAACTCTTTAATTTGACATCAAATGTGACAATCTTAATCAGACGCATACACCAAGTTTTTGCAATGAAATTTGAAACATTACTATGCAAAGTATAGGAAAATACAAAATATTTTAATATACGATTCACGGAAAACACAGACACGCTTTTTATAGATAGAACAAATATGGAATGCAGACACAGATTTAAATTTTGTAATCACGATAAGATAATGTTCGTTTTGTATGCTTGCAAAGCAAAAAAATTTCCAAATGAAATTACCTTCGAGCGATGAGTCTGGAATTTCCGGGAAGATCGGTACGTCCGAGTGATGAATGAAATATACAGATGTGACCACTATAGTAGTTAGAAGTATTAAAGCTAGAACGCACGATAAAGCTGCACATCTCCACGTCCAAAGCCATTGCGTCACTAAAATAATTATAAAGCGCTGTATTAGAACGATCATTATAACAAGTTTACGAGCTATACGTAATAGCGTTGGATAAAATTCAAATATTAGCATTATGCTGGAAAGCGTGTTTAGCAAGAGATATATAATATATTATAATTGCATTAAATCCTTCGTGTTTTATTATAATTTTTGTTTGATGCCACTCTTCTGTTACTCTATTCTCAGTCGACGAGTGAAACAATTTGTAGCATTCACCAATTTATGCCAGAATAACATAACACGTACATACTACCAGTAAATATAGCTCTATATTTAGTTTTATTTTAATTCTTGTAATAATTAAGTGTAAGAACAAATTTCAATTTAATATATCAACAATATTGAAACTCGCTATATATTCTAGTATAGTCGTGACAGTTAATTAAGTTACATTAGTCAAAAGAATTAATGATATTTGTTATATATCATTAAAATGATTTTTTTTAATTATAGCAGATTGATTATTGTATTCCATACGCTTCAAAGAACTTTGAGATATATCATACATCATCGATTCTTATCGAATTCATTTAATCGGTAATGAAAATAATATATAACGGTATTATACATACTATTATATATGTATACATTATTTAAAATAACTATCAGTACCACATATTTCGAAATGTTAAAAATGTTTACGTATAAAAAGAGATTATATTTGATGACGTCTTTGACTCTATACCACATGAAGCTATGCCGATCACATCGTAAAAGTAGCAAGGTGAAATGACATCTCTAATGTTAATAATAGCAAATTCAATTGAACGCACTAAAGCATATTAAAGCCATCGTAATTTAATCTGATCACAGTATAAAAGTAAAAACTACAATAAATATCGATGAAAACATGCCGTAACAGTCAAGCTGGATCTTGAATGCTTCTAATATATAAATTCTAATATATAAATTCACACTAAATTGTGATCGCTTTAAATTGCATATTAAAAGCATCCAAGATCCAGCTTAACCGTTATGTGTTCTCATCGGTATTTATTAGTTTAAACTTCACGGTCCAATAAGATTTGATATTGTAAAAGTAAAATGCAAATATTTCGAATTATAAAACACGTCCGCATTAAAATGTATATTGAGGACTTCACAGTTTAACCTGTTTTTATATTCATATTAAGCACATCTTTACATCAATTTGTGTGTAACGATTTTAATATGCATGAGTGTGCAATGAGTACGTCCAGTCAAATTTGTCATGAGACGTTACTAAAACCGTCGCCTTATAACGTTTGAAGTTCATCGACAGTTTTTTTTTTGCAAATATATTTATAATTATGCGTAAAGTTCTATTGATAAATTGAACATTTTTAAGATGAATATTGATTCTTTTGATTTAATATTTAGATATTTCCAAAATCCTTATTGCAATAATATCACAAAGTGTTTGAAATATATTTACATTGTAATTCAATTTGTTGTGTGCGAATCACGTAATTTCTTATATAAAATTGTCCTATTCTAAATCTAAAATGAGACCTATTCTTTTTAGTTTTGCCTGTCGATTTCGTATTTATCTTTGTTTTGGAAGAGAAAGACAATCGAAACTAAAAACAACGAAAAGTAAACAAAATCTAATAGATCATTACCTTTAACTAATTCAGTATTTTGCGGGAAAATGGGTCCATTGGCAGTTCCATTATCTTTATTCGTTGACAAATCCGAGACGTCGGAGGCGCAGTTGGCGTCGAGTTTACTCGCATCCTGGATCGGAATAGGATTCGTGTAAACGAACTGCTTTATGGTAACCGGACCCTTGTAGAAGGTCTTGTTACCCAGATGCACATTCGTTGAATTTTTTACGCAAACGTCACCAAAATTCGACGGATCGGCGTTCGGTAGAACGACATCGCCGTTTGTAGTGGCAACTGCTTGATGTTGCTGGATGATGGTCGAGGATACCGGCAGATTTGTGAACCAGCTGCCGGCTTCTTCAACGTCCGTCTCCTCTTCCTCATCGTCGTCTACGTCACTGCACTGCGTAGAGGAATCTCCAACGCTACCATTGCCTGGAGCGACGACCGCGGTTTCTCTCGCCGAGTACGCAGCTTCGCCGTGAAACCTGTCGACCGCGTGATTTTCGGCGGACACAACAGCACCGTTCACGTGGTCCTGATCTTTCTGACACTGGTGATTACCGTCGAGCGTTTGCTGCTGTTGTTGTACCAATGTCACCATACCCATGTGCTACGAGGAAGATTCACCTTTTTTTTTTTTACATTGAATATACTTACTTATATTTTGAAAAGATAAACGCCACACATGCAGTAGAATTATGCGCTTACGGAGAAGTAACTATAGGGTCTTTAGATAAATTCGTCAAGTCGTTACAATCCTTTCACTTCTATTAGAGTATAAATGTACTGTTTAATACTTTGTTTTTTATTCTCTCTTTTCTCGAAAAGAGAAATTCAGAAATTTGATTTTATGTTAATGTAAGATTTTTTAACAGTTTGGGAAAAGCTACGATTTTTATCTTAAAAATAATTTTTCTCAATTATCTTACGTTCAAAATATTTAAACTCAAAATTTCTTGCCAGATTTTGTAACTATATTTAATTGAAAACATTGTGTTTTCTAGTTCTTGTAAAATTAAAAAAAAAAAACAAAATATCTGAATTATGCTTAAAATTGACTAATGTTGATGAAACCGACAATTAAATCGTTGAGGAATATAATAATAACTCATTTCTAATCAACACTGCCGGATGTTTGTTGGGTCCTTATTGTTTCATATAGCAATAGAATGCTTCAATCAAGAAAATTACGTAAATTATAAAACGACGTGATTCAGTGGAGAATACATAAAATTAGATCAAAACATTGCCAATCAGAGTTCAATTGCGTAGTGAATAGTATTGAGATAAGAAACTTAAATAAACAGATTAAAGTAAAATCTGGTGTTTGATAAATTTATTTAAATTTATATTCATTGGCTGTTGCTGAAACAAGGATCCAACATTATATATATGCTGCATACGGGATAGAAATCGCACTTATACGCATTTTATATATTACGAATATTATATTTAATTATCGTAAATCGATTAATTGCGTATTTATATTAAAAATTGTCGTTCCGGATTCTTTATAATTTCACACAACACAGAAGCTTGCATATTGCTGAAATGACTGTGTGCTGTATGGGATGTTCCGATGAGTCATGCCTCATGGTGCCATCATGTGCGTGTTTTTTTGAGTACGAACGTACTATAGTCACCGTAATGTACGTCACTGTACTCTTTTTGCGTCAAATTTATTACCGTACATTGTCATTTTAAAAATATATCGTTGCGATTAATATATAAATATTTCAGTAAAATTATTATCCTACATATTAATATTTTTTTCTTAAAATTCTTATATATTGTTAATAATATTTCATTGGAACTCCATTTCTATAGATGATGGAGATTAATCACAATATGATTCGGATAAAGTATATATCTAACAAAAGTGAATAGCACAGAAATTAGAAAAAGGATGAAGCATACAAAACATTTATGTATAACGAATTGATTACATTGTAAACAAATTATGAACATACTAACGATAAAAGATATAAAAGATATAAAGATTATATACTAAGAAGTTGAAAAGGAACATGGACTAAACGTCGTAATATCTTCGTCGTTCAAAATATTTTATATTGCAGAAAGTTACGCTCAAATAAGATTGATCAATTGCTTATCTACATCACACGATGACAAATCTCTATAATTAATATGATAATTCTTGCTTAGGTAAAATTATTTAATCTTCGGTCACAAAATAGATAAATCTGTTTTTTTCTTCTTTTTAGCTGAACTTTGCATGGTTTACCTCTCTTTTTCCTTTTTATCTCTGTATTGAAGAAAAAGAGAAAGAGGTAAACCGTGCAAAAAATTTAGCTAAAAAGAATGCAAATTTGATAATATTTTACATCTTGTTTTGGTAAATTATACATCAACTATAGAAACAAAGTTCACTATGAATATAGAAAAGTAAAAACACCTATACATTTAAAATATTTTATTTAACTTGTAAAATAAAGTAAAAAGACAAGTGGCAAGCTCGATTAAAAAATCCCAAATCAGAGTGTAACCGGTCGACAACAATTATCTACTAAATTAAGGATTGACTGACTCATATTCGAGATTACCTCGTACAAATCATCATTTGTGCTGGCGGCGGTCACTTTGCCAACACTAAATCCACCAACAATTTATGACGACATGATATGTCGTTATCGTAGAGAATGTTTCCCGGAAAGGAAAACTTCATTCGAACTGGTCCCCGACAGTTTTCGACACGCGATTTTGACTTCACCAGCTGTTGAAGAATTAAATGCACTGACCCGCAGGAATAAAGTACATACAATCCAAACGAGAACAAGCTCGGTTCAACTGACCACTGTCAATTATCTTCGTTGATCCTACGACACTGTCAGACTGGTCAGACAGATACTGGCTTCAGCGATGACGCCACACGGTTGCCGAAGGACGACATACGCTTGGAGGTGGAATTGTTGAGAGCGTAAGTAGGAGAAGCAAAATGAGGAAAAAATGGAAAAACAGAAAACTGGTACAGCGTTCACGATATTCCCTTTTGGATGCAGTAGTCTCGAATTTTATTCGAATAATAACACTAATACGGATTCTTGTGCTGATACACGCGGATGCACTATCATAATATCGTACAGTATTCGCGCACTGAATCTATATCATTATCGCACTGCGTTTTATAAGAAAACCACCGTAAATATAATGCGATATCTTATATATATATATTTTTTTTTAAATGCACGCCACGGCGATCGTTTCTATCAGAAAGAATGGATTTTGCGGCAGCAAGCCGCGCTTGTCAAGCACTCGTTGACAAACTACCGAGGGAATCAATTATCAAGGCATCCGTAATGGCGGGCATTATCTCTCCGTTCATTTCGACACGGAATAGACTGTTGTCGCGTTGTGAGACGTCAGACGTGCTCGGAAATCGTTGGCCCCACTCTTTGCCTCTTTTTCTCAACCACACTGTTAACGATACAGCTGCGATATGCATGTATGTGCGATAACGTCACTTTACACAAGTTTAATCTTTTTCGTGAAACCGGATGATGACTTGTATCTTCGCCTTTCTAAGGTCGAAGATTTCTATCAAATCAGCATAAACAAAATACCTATATTATTTATATTATAATTTTTTGTGATTAAAAATGAAAGATTATTATTTCGCAATAATTATATTATGAAGAACATGTATCTATATTATATACAATATTATATATATGTTTCAAACTAGACGGGACAAAATGTGATCAAAGTTATAATATAACCAGACAATAAATCGAAAATGTAGATTAACTTTTTTAAGAAAATCGCAGAAATAGAAAAAAATATTTTTAGGATATAAATAAATAATTAATGTATTGAATGCATTTTTTTTTTAAACAAATACATTCGGTTTATTTGTTTATAAGGTATAAATTAATCATACAAGGAAACAAAATTTATGGTGATTTCAGTCTGGAAACTGTTGAGTCTCAATTAAAATTTTAATAAAATATTTTTTTTTAATGGATAAGTAGTAATATAACCGTATTTGCTTATAAGATTAATTTTATAAAGTTAATTTTATAAAGAATGCAAGAGAGAGCTTATTATCATAATTTCAATGTGAGTGCTCTCTGTGTTGAGCCGCGATTTTAATACTTATTTGTATTTTGATATTTATATGTATAAAGAAGGCAAGTTTACTCTGATAAAAGTTATATTTTATTAAAGATTTACATATACATATGTTATACTACATAAGTATACAAACAAATACAAGAAAGATTCATCTCTCGCAACCAGGACTGGCGATTTCAGTAGGGTCAGTCTGGAGTACTCCATATGCAAATTTCTAAGCTATAGAATTCCATACATGCAAATTTCTAAGCTATGGAATTCCATACATACTTCGTCAGAAGTAATAGTGAGAACAAGAATGGTAGGCTCTATCTATAAGAGCCGGCGATTTCAGTAGGGTCGGTCTGGAGCACTCCATACATAAAAATTTCTGAGCTATGGAATTCCATACATACGTCAAACACTAAATTAATACTTAATAAACATTTAATGAACATTTAATTAACACATAATTAGTTTCACTAAATTAATGAAAATACTATAATATTAACAATTCCGGGTTTTCCGCGCTTAGGCGTCTAAAAAATTTTCTTCGAGCGACAATGTTAGAAAAACGTTTAAATAATATAGCAATTTTACATGTGTATCAGGATATTGCCAAAGATTTAGATTTCGAATTATTAATGAACAATTTTATAACTAAAAACAAAATAAAAGCAGCAACATTTTTGCTTTATAAAACATGAAAATAAAAACGCATATATATGAAAAAAGTCTAAATCTAAAATATTAATGTCACCCCTCCCCCTCGCCACCCTCCTCCAACCGAAACTCCATACATAGAAAAAATTTACTTCGCCGACCCTGCTTGCTACAGCTTCTGAGATTATATTTAATCACGAAAATAACTGGAATAAAGTCGTCTCTCTTGGAATTATAGGATTTCGAAAGAGTAATATTGATTCTGGTATTTACTGAAAACTCGACAAAGAAGATGAAACTAAAAATAAATTAACATAAAGTTAATAATTAGGAAAAGTATTCTATGCTTAAGATAAAAGTTTTTCTTTCCAATCAAACGTTTCCAAAATAAACTTTTATCTTTATTATCAATCATTCTTATCCTTTTGTATTATTTTTATTACTCGATTGTTAAAGAATAATATTTATATTTAAGATAAAAATAATTTATTATAGAAAGAAATTATGTATCAAAAGATCACACGAGTGTACAAAATATATTTTCTAGAAATTTTAACTATTTTCGATTGACTAAAATTAACAATTTTGAAAGGATAAATATTTGATAGTGCTCTAATAGAGCAGAAAGAATGAAATATCTACAATAAAAACGATAAAACATGAAGTATAATAATTGCATAAAACATTTTTCTAATAAATTATTTTATTGCAGTTACCTATAGGTTATGCTCCAACTTGATATCAATTATTTGTTTTAAAACTTATCTTTTCATGTGAAAGTAGTGCTCCGCACATTCATTATATAGCCAAATTACATAAACAAAGAAACACGCACACGCACATATATAATGTATAAAGCGCAATGAATTAATGATTGGAAAAGACATTAAATGTTATTAAGAAATTTAATATCACGTCATTTTACATTTTTAATAAATATATAAAATATTTTACTAGCTAATACATGTAATGATGTAATTATGAAACTATGTGACACAAAACATTTAAAACATTAGATTGTAATTGTTGATACTTGCAGTGTCATTAATCTCATATTGTATATTATCATCAATGCTATCCTATTTTATATAAAATAACACATAATGAATTATTTATATATATATATATGTATATAAATAAAACTTTTAGTTTTTAAAATTTATCAAAAGAACATAGCGTGATATGACAATATTTTATACATATATTTAAACAAAAATCACAACTAGTTTGTAAAAGTACTAATATTAAAAATGTAATATATATGAGTTATATATATATATCTCAATTCTCACTGTATTTAAATAGAATATTTACTTTACTAAATACATAATATTAACAGGCCTGTTCTTTGCATTTGAACTAATATATAGTATTTTAAAAAATAAATATTTGAATTTTGGTGAAAAAGAAATATAGGAAGTTTTAATAATATCCAATGGGATTTATTCAACATATTTGCATGATACTATGATCTTTTTAATGAAATTTAATTAAAATTTAAAGAAATTTTTAACGCAATGACAAAAAGCAGGCCTGATAGATCTAATCGCGTAAGTAGTAGCCTCAAAAAATTTAAAAGAAACAAATTAATACAACAGAGAGGAATGTATTAAAAAATATAATTTGATAAAAATGCTTATTTGAAAAAGTATATATTGCGCTTAATCACATTTAATTATTAAATAGAAATCAGTATATAAGAGAGTAGTATTTACCACTAAATTTTGAGCAAAATATGCTTTCCCAAATGTATATAATAGATAGATCAAGATTCAATGTTTTTAAGTTTTATTAAAAGCAACAAAAAGCAAATTTCTAGAGTATATAGCTACTGTAATATCAATATAGTATGCATATATATTCATCGTGTTTTCTTATAATTTCTAAATTTATTAAATGATTGTAATGTACATCAGGAATCTCCTTAAATTCGGAGTAACAAGAGAGAAAACTTCATATATTAATATTTTATTTAATAATAAATAATACCTTTTTCTTATGTATCTGTCTTTTTAGCGTTAATTTACTGATCCTGATATAGTAACTTTATATAACTAAAATATGCTTCACTATCAGCAACACTGCAATAATTTATGATTAAACAATTCACATAGTTTGCATTAATTCTATAATTATAATAATAAGTAAGTTGTAGCCTTGTCTTTTCTTAAAAGTACTAATTTCTTGTTATGTTGACTTTACTATATAATATAATATGATAAGCATGAAAATTCTATTGAATGCAAGTTCCACATTTGGATGTTATCCCACTTGGTCCAACAAATGTGTTGACAAGTTGTTAAGAACTTTATATGATCTTCAATATTAGACATTGTCATCTAAAAAAAAAAACAAATTATTCATTTTATTAATTCTACAAAGTTGTACTTTTACATACATAAAATTATAATTAGTTAATACTGTTACCTAAAATACTAATTAGCCAGTGAGTTAAGACAGTGAATTGCAAATGTTATACAGGACAGGGATTTAACAATATGATAAAAGTATCAGAAACAAACTCTAAAATGTGTAATACAAAGCTAGTTTTCTTACCATGATACCACCATTTTGTCTTTTTTGGATTCTTGTTGCAAGTTTTCACATAAAACGTATTGTCAGGTGGTCTCTTCTACATGTAAAGTATACATATATTATTTATAAAATTACATTAAACTTGCATATGTTCTAACAATTAATCTCACACCTTTTCTTTACAGCTGCTTAGCATTGAAATGATACTCAGGCAGATGCTTTGCACACTGAGAGCAGGAGACCAATCCTCCGTTAATATGGATAAACAAATATGACCATTACTATAGACGTGTGGATGTATAGGGATATTTCCACCAATAAAAGTCACTTCTGGAGAATCAAATGGGTACTTTGAACTAAATTTAAACTGAAGCTGAAATTGTTCCCCCTCGTACAGCGTGCCCTTAGCACCTTCCATATGGATGATCCACTGCGTCAAATTTTGTCCAGCTAACTCTGCATCTACGTGTACACATGGTGGAGGCTCACGTATTAAAGACATCAATTCCTTCTGCAGTCTCCTCTAGGATATTAAACAATTAAATTCATTTAATGTAATATTTCTTTATATTAAACAATCTTATAGAAGAAACTACTTTGGTCCAAGAGATATATAAATGTTTTTTTTTAGAGACAAGTATTAATATCTATATAGATAAAATTTTACACATATATTTGCATAAAGATTTTTATTCAGCATACGATATGATTCAGCAAATTATATGAACAACATGGGTTGTTATAAAAGTACAAAGAATAAAACTACTTATTTATGAGACATTTATGATAAATAGCAAAAATTAAAAAATTATTAATGTGTCGTGTGTCTGAAGAATATACAATCGCACACATTATGACAATAAAATCTTTGTTCATAAAATTCTTTGTCCAAAGTAGATTTGTTTTTAAAATAATTCCTAAATCAGGAACAACTGCATCAATAACGGGCGCGATTGACAATTAATATGATTCATTGATAACGATCTGACGATAAGCAACGGCGAACAAATTCTCGCAGAGTTCGTACGTTTTCCATCTTGTCTCGCAATATCCGTCAGAATTAAGTATGTTCGATCGTTCGGTTGCCTCGCGCGAGTCGGAAATCAAGTAGATGCTCTTTCTAATCTCTTTCGGTTTTTTAATTATTTCCCGATTACACAGGCGGCTGGCGTTCCCTGGGATTACATGGGTGGAAGATAACAGGAGACAGAGGGAAACTCACAGAACATGGGAAACTAGAGGGGAGGGGAGGGACCTTCGAGTGTCTTCGACGTACCTTCGACGGGGACGTTGCTGCCATTGTCGTTAAAGTACTCTCCATCGAAAAACATAACCGCGGCCTGTTCGCGTAACAGGCATACGTCTCTCTGCCGTTGTACCTTCCTCGGGAGAAGAAGACTCGTGTCTTAGGTTTGCTCGCGATCTCGCATTCTCACGCGGAGGGTGGCAGAGGTGAAACAAGAGAACCAGGTCGTAGGGAAGAAACAGAACGAACGAACTGAACGCTGGCAGTGGCAGTTCGGTTCTGCTGAAGCTCTTCCGCAGTGTCGACAGCTGTATTCACGCGATACAGCCGAATGATCCGAGCTGTCGCTGTCGCGAGGCGCACAGCGCACGATCGTCGTCGCACCACTCACACATATCCACATGGAACTCGGACGTGTATATACGTATAACGCCGCAACGGTACTTTTTCCTTTACGGTACAAGAATGCGAATAGAAGTGGATAGAAGGTTGATAGAACAGCGATCGGTCGTACGTGGTCCTGACTCCAACATTTCCGCGACAACGAAATTGAACGAAATCTGTCCAGTGACGGAACGTCCGCGAGAAAATTAAGTTGAATAAAGTGACGCGTCAGAGAAGATGAAAATACGTGACGTGCGGAATTAAATGGGGTTTTAGTCCCGTTGGAATGTCAATGGGACGAAACGCGCGATATCGCTGTAGAGACCCTTTCAATAATTGATAACAGCGAGTCCGAGGCGAGGACGACGAAGAATCGGATGCGTCTCGCAGACGTCAAGGTACAAAATGTATGATCCGCTCTTCAAAAATGTGCGCGCATTCCACCCGGAAATGAATGACCGGATGTTGACGTATGTATTAGCGAACGCTGCCGCCATCTGTTATCCCGTCGATCATTCCGACACATTCCAGCGAGAAGTGGCGAGAAATCAGAAATCAGCGAGCGCGACACACAATGGTCATCTGTTGTTCATGACTGTAGGCTGAAAATATTTTTGTGGATGACGTTCTCACCTGCGGCCGAGATCGGCGGAGGGACATTATATTTACGATTATTATTACGCGTGTGACGGGCGCGGGGTTCTGCGTTATCCGCGGTATCGCCGGGCAAACTGTGCAATGGAGAGTATATTTCACGAGAAGGTAAAAAAAAAAAAAACATGCTGCCGCGATGACGATCAGTTCCGTTTTCAACGATGGGGATAGGGTTCACGTTCTTTAGCGATGTTTTTTTCCTCGCAGCAAGAGGGATATCTGTGCGCCCAGCACTGCCTGAACGCGCTCCTGCAAGGCCCGTATTTCAACGCCGTCGATCTGGCAAACTTCGGTCATCAAATGGACGAGGAGGAAAGAATCAGGATGGCTGAATCGGGCGTTGACAGCGAGGACTACAAGCTGTTTCTCGAGGTGAATACAACGTCGCGTGTCAAAGCCTTTCAACATATAATTGCAGAATACTCGACGATACAGAAGTGTCACGCAAAAATTCAACTTAATAGAAAAGACACGCACTCTTTGAAAATGTCCTCTTTGATAGACATAAACGCTTGACCTTGCTATTATCTGCTACCAAGAGCTGTGCAAATACTCTCTGTAACAACAACGAATATGCTTCTTATGTTTAGCAACCATCGGGAAACATGGATGACAGTGGATACTTTTCAGTTCAAGTTATTAGCAGTGCTTTGAAAGTTTGGGGTTTAGAACTGATACCATACAACAGCACAGAACCGACAGCTTTACTGGCACAGAATGATCCTTCGTAGGTTATTGATAATTTGTTTTGATCTTTGACTATATATGAGCACTTGTGTAGTCAAAGATTTTAAGTCTATTTTATGTTGTGTCCTGATATATTTTGTTTTATTGCACTCGCAGAACAGCATATTTTTCATAAATTTTATTGTCCTTATAACAATTATAGTAACAAATCACGTACATGCAAATTAATACATGTTTTTTTTATATTACATATTTGTTTATATCACATCATTTATATTGAGCGTTCACTTTTCAGTGATTTAAAATAAGTAGTTTTATTTATAATGATTTTATGAAATAATTCATATAGTGACAATATAATTTTCAGGCGGATGAGAGCATATATTTGTAATTATAAGGGACATTGGTTTACGATAAGAAAACTTGCAAGTCAGTGGTTTAATTTAAATTCAATGCTCAACGGACCCCAGCTTATATCAGACACTTATCTCACAATGTATCTAGCTCAATTATTACAAGAAGGTAAGCCTATAGTAAGACTAATGAAAAGTATGTCAATCAAAGATATATGAATTATTTGCTAATTTTACAGGTTATTCTATTTTTATCGTTATCGGTACCCTTCCGCAATGTCCTGCCGAAGATGTTCTTCAAAAAAATCCTATAGTCGCGACTAAAAGCAATTCAAGCTCGGAATCAAAAACCACACCTAAAGGCAATCGCTTAGGCACCAAGTTAGAGGACGAAATTTTGAAAACTGCTCTTGCAATGGGAGAAGTGAAGGTCCCACAATCTTCAAGTGCAAGCAGAAACGTGTCGTCGCTTTTACATAAACCCGGACTATCTACAGACGAACCTCGTGAAAGGCTAATTCCCATAAGAGTCGAGAGTAGGGAAGAAAAGAGTGACGAAGAGGAGGACGAAAATATGCAGTTGGCTAGAGCCTTACAGATGAGTCTGCAGAATGACGAGGATGACGTAGACAAGACACTAAAGTTGAGATTGGATCTTCATACTGACGATAAAACGACGCATTTAACAGAATTGACAAATGATACAGACGAAGATGACGAGCTGAGACGAGCCTTACAGCTGAGTCTCGAATGTGTTACTGCCCCCCCAACACCCGATCCCGAAGATCTACGTTGGCGTCGGCTCAATCACTTTGGCATCTATACGAGGACGTCCAACAATGAAGCTCCCGCAAAGCTGAACACTTAACAATAAGCGCAAACTTTGCACAAATTATCTATTACTAAACTGACCGTTATACTGTAAATTATAAGATTAAATAATTGAACTCGAGAAGGTATGTCATTTTGTATACTAATGAGAGAGCTACAATAATAAGAGACACAGTACTTGTCAAATGAGATTTGAGGTACACTTTTGGTTCCTCGAAGTTAAACGGTGCTCTCGTTGACGTTTTGTTCTCCCTCTCAACTTTGTTATACTAATCGTTCTCGGAATAAAAACGTTTGAGCAAGAAATCTGCCGTTACTAATCAATTCTGAAATATGTATATATTTGTGTATGTGTGTTTATATATAATATATATTTAAAATATAAAATATATTTGAGAAAAAAATGATCGATTTAATATAATAAATCTAGTATTTAGGATCTTGGAGAAAGATTATAGTAAATTGAATCAAGAGAGCAACTTAATCAGCAGTTAACTCAATGATAGGTCACTTAAGACAAAATCTTTAATGTACAATTCATTGTTTTAATCTTTTATCGGTGCATTAAAAATAATTTTGTTAATTTAATAGCTTTATTTGTATTACTTAATAAGATAGTATATGATTAAATTAATCTAATTAATATAATTCGAAATCGTCCTAATTCTTTAATTTTTTCCAAACGCTGATTAACTTACATTATTTTCCAATATGGGTAAATTAATAATTTTTTATTAATATACAATAGACATATTAAAGTTTTCTTTTATTAGTGGAAGTGAATAATAATTGCTGATTAATCACACAGTTCAAATTGTTCTTTGACATCCAATAAAGAAATAATAATAATAATAATTGTTCTCTAGAAATTATGATATTGATGAAAACAATCAAAACGAATAGATTCAAAAATAGTTTTTAAAACGCATTTACAACGCTATCATTGGTTAAAAATGTTTCGTGAGGTGACCTGTCAATCAATTCTCAAAAATTTGAATCACGTTGACATTTTTTGTCGCAGCTGGCTGCGCATCAGAAGTATTATATACCTATATGTATAGATATGGGCGCCTGTAAAGTGCCTTTACATGAGAGCGTCGAGCGTCAAAGTATGCGCAGTGATATGTTAAATGTATATTGAAATCCTATACACTACTGATAAAGGAATTTTGTAGTTTACATTATACAATGTAAACAAATTAAATTTTTCACTATTATGTGTTAAAATAGCGTACTATCCTATGTAATGAGTAATTTTAAGCCCGTTTCCATCGCAACGTCGCGGTCAACTCGGTCCCAGCTGCGCGCGTGCGCGCGCGCGCACAGGAAACTCGTGGTCGCTCCCGTTGGATGTATGCGAACGCCGATTGCCGAATGTTGACATTCAACATGGCGGCATGTCGTCAGTGCTGTGCTGTGTCGTGGTGAGTTTCGTAAATCCTCTCGACGTCCTACAATTGCGAGCTTTGTACGGGAAGACGTGTCATCCGGATCGGCGTGATCCCCGCTAACGTTCGCCGATCGAATTGGCGTCCGGGACAGACCGATGGGAGCATGCCGCGACTTCGCAATGACCACCACGGCGAGATGAGGCGCTCCACGACCTCATAAAAAAATCAACCACTTTAAAACTACAGAGAGCATGCATGATTACGTCTCGATCACCGACCGCTTCGCCATGCAAAAGGGATCCGCGAAATTGGTCGCGAGCATAGCTCGGACGATTGGCGTGTACGTGATCCACGAAAATCGCCATTCGTCGCCGCGATCGCCACCCTCTTTTCGAATTTTCCCGAAGGTTTCGCACACAAACGTGCTCGTGGTAATGTTGTCGGTTGATAGCGCGAGCAGGATAAGGATTGAGGTGGAAGCGATAGCGCGAGTCCGAGAGCCGTGACTCACGTATCCGCGGATCGCGCCGCGCGACGCCCTCACGTCAGACACAATTTTCACGCGGTCGCGCGTAACGGAAAGTAAGATCTCGTATCCCCTCGTGTCAATGTCAAACTATCAGATGATTTGGTACAAGTATGTTTGTCTCACGCCGCGGAGTGCTATAAATAAACGCGTTGTTATTCCGCCTTGGTCATTTCCTTCCGGCTCCGGGAAATTCTTTTATGTTCTCGCGAGGATGAAGTAACCTGCCTGCTCAATCACGTGTGCTCGAAATGCGTGTTAAAAATTATGCGTGCGTTGAATTTTCGATGACTTTTCGCGCGATATTTCGACAATTTTTAATTAATTTTATTTGAATGCATACATATCTATGAAGAGTTGTGACGGAATATAATTCTTTTTAGGAGTATAATTTGAAGTATTTTCTTAACTGTAAATATTTTTTATAGCACATGTAATACATAGCGATTAGTTGTTCGTATTTTTTTGTATAGTTTTATTTTGAACGGTATTATTTGTAAAATTGTGATCTGTACATAAAAATTTTGAAATTTTTCTAAATCATTTATTTGACATGGAAGCTTTATTTAATTTATGTCGCAAAATATAGAAATTAATGTTTGTATATTTTATATATTTTAATATTTAGTGCAAAGCTCGCAATTTTCAAACAACAAACAATATACTTTGGCTATACATGTTGTATTTGCAAAATGATTTTTTAACTTTTGTAACTTTTGTCTTTCTCTTTTACAGCTTGTGTCATTGTTAGTTTAGGACACTTCTGAAACCAAGGTTCACTGTAAATTCTACATTTAAAAGCTGAAGAAGAAAACGTTACTATAGAAATATTGGAAGAACACAACCAGACTCAGCACGCATTGAAGACATCTGAGGATTTTCAAGTCAACATTTATCCTTTAAAATCTCCTATGTTTTTGATTTACTCCTTTTATAAGGAATGACTGATGTTCAAAAGAAAACACAGTTGTTCTAGTGTACGCTAAATTGAGTATTTATCAAACAGTTGTTATAATATTCAAACATATATATATATATATACATATACGTATGGAAAGTATTGACAGTGTATGGTGTGCTAAGATTTTGTACTTGTATTAAGTCATAAATCAGCATTAACTGCATCGTTCATTTGTACATTATATACACAACAAGCCTTGTGAGCAAGAGATAGGTGAGCAAATACAGTGACCGTGATTGTGATTGCGGCTGAGATTGTGCTGCTCCGCTTGGTTACTAGAACATCTTTAACTGCGTTTGACGAGTGCCAAGTTTGTGTAGAGTCACTGTGGTACTCTGATAAATAATTCTCACAATAAACGCGTTAAAGTATTCTGAAGAGACCTTACTTCCACTTTCTGGTCACGAAGAAGTCTGCATTTCTGCAGCATTTCAAGGAGCCACTCTTCCTCTTCATTAAGTTCTTGTAACATTATTAATAGTGAACAAAGATATAAGGTACCAAGAACCGTTCTGTGATATCTATGTTAAACACTTAAATAATTGAAAAAGACTAAAAATTTCTAAATATAAGTATATATATTGTGGGGTGAAACGCAAAAGTGTAAACAAGAAATTAAGTAATTGTTTCAAGAAGAGTTGAATTATACGTAAATATTACACGTAACACTGCGCAAATTGAGAAGACAATGTCCAACAATCCTCAGTGGAAAACGTTCCAGCCGCCAATCATGAACTCTGACCCAGCAATACTCGATTATAAGTCTATGGCTATATCAAGTCCTAAAGCCATAACGGGATATCAGCCGACAACTAATAACTATCGAAATGGTACCAATTACAGTGGTGATCATATAGTCTCATCTCCTGAATGTAAAAATTCTACTAACTACGGAAGTTATCCTGGTACACAGTCGTCGCCACGCAATGGCGCCACAAGATTCCCGTTTGAATTTACGGGTATGGAAACAAATGCTGGGTATACAAATGAACCTGCCACCAGTAATTCTACCTATCAGGATCAATCTGCGAATCAAGGAACACGGGAAACTGGTATAATTGAAAAATTATTGGTGAGCACTACAAATGTTATGAGACTTAATTATCTGTAATTATGTGTAATTATGTATATATCAGCAATTAATTTATACATGATTTTTATTTAACAGCATTCTTACGGATTCATACAGTGCTGTGAAAGACAGGCAAGATTGTTTTTTCATTTTAGCCAATTTAGTGGTAATATTGAACATTTAAAGATTGGAGATGCGGTAGAGTTTGAAATGACTTATGATCGACGAACGGGCAAGCCTATTGCAAGCACCGTTAGCAAAATTGGCCCAGTGGTTAGTAAAATAATAATAACAACAATAATGATATGAATAAGTGATTGATATTATAAAAAGGTGTAAATGTACATATACTTCTTTTAGTCATTGGGTGATCAAAGATGCATCGGTAATGTAACCACAGAGCTACAAGCGAGTGGCGATTCAGGACGTATCACTTTCGAATACCGTGGAGAATGTTTTTTTCTGCCATATACCAAAGATGATGTTGAAGGGAACGTCACCTTACGAACTGGTGATAAAGTATCATTTCAAGTTGCAAATAATCAACGGTACGATGTTTTTAGATTATATACATATATAGTATTTGTTAGTAAAGTAAAAAAAACATAAGTAGTATTTTCTTTTCTGACATATGCAACTCTTATATTTCAGAGGAGTCTTGAATGCATGTAATGTAAGGCTGGAAAATCCAGCACATCCAGTCCGTTATCGCGGAGTGGTATGCTCAATGAAAGAAAATTTTGGTTTTATCGAGCGTGCTGATGTAGTCAAAGAAATATTCTTCCACTTTAGCGAAGCTAAATCAATGAAAGAAGAACTTAGGTTAGGAGATGATGTGGAGTTTATAATACAAACGCGTAATGTAAGTAAAATAAAATCTCTATAAATGTGTTTCTTGAAAAGATACATATATAAGCAACATATGACTTAAATTACGAAGAATCTGAAGACACGTAAAAAATTTACATAATTATATGTTATTTAATTATATGTAAAAAAAATTTAGTTGTAACTCTAAGTTTGTAAGCATATCAACCAATCACAGTCGTGTATTCTAAATCATGAGATCCTAATTTTTATTGTAATTGGTCAATTTGCTTTCAGTCTTATGATTATGACTAAAATTTTTGTATATATGATGTCCTTAAAATTTAATGTTTTTCTATTTTAGGGGAAAGAAGTAGCTTGCAACATTACAAAGTTACCACCCGGCTCAATTGTATTTGAGGAAGTCAGCAACGAAGTGGTGAAAGGCCAAGTGTTGAAACCTTTGGAGAGAGGCAATGCTGCTCGTCATCAAAATGATCCATTACCTGGTCGTATTCGATACAGAGACAGTGATCATTCTGAAGTTGA